ATGTTATGATGTATATAGGTATATAATATATATATACGTGATATCGTATATATATAGACAAAACTCCTACGCGCGCGCGATCCGAACAAAAACACACAACTATATTATAATATATATATATATATATATATATAATAAGAAGAACATTTCAATCCAACACTTATTATGCACGTCTAAATCCGACAACAATGCACAACCCTCGGATGTAGGTAACGTACGTCGTGAAGGACGCGGCTTGCGAGATAAATTCATCTAGAGCATCGCTATATACACAGTATACACACACACACACACACACACAAACATATTATATCCATTCACGTAATATACATATTATACGTCAGTACCATGAGACATATACTATGTAGGTATTATATATATAAATACGTCCAAGCCGTTGACGCTCAATGGAACAGAGCGGTGGGTAAGTACTACATGCCGCCGCTGTCTACTCCGCACTGAATAATAGTGAGAAAAAAACACGGCTGTGCAAGCAGTGGCAGTACACTAGACAGTGGCCGCAGTGGCGACAGCGGCCTTCACAAAGCACTATATAATATATATTTAAACTATTTAATAATTATATAGTATACACATCATTAATTATTATTTATTGTAATATACTTACACAGAACATAAGTACTACAGCGGTCGTAGACTGTATATAGTCACGTACATTATAAATATATGTGACACGCAGCGCACATCGTTTGTACAAATCAAAATAAATAATAGTAAGCGATATAAAATATTAGAGGCGTACGTATAAACGTTAAAAATTAAATTATATATTAAAAATTGTAAAAATGTAGTTAAAAAGATACGGTATATATATAGGTACCTATATAGATTTTAAATGCAGTCTATATTATAGTCTATGCATGCATATTATCTATTATTATGTACGTATACACAATAAATTCATATAAATATAGGTACATAGTTTATGATTCATGGATAAATCATAAATGAAATCATATCTCTATTATATAGTACGTAGGTAAATATATAATGCATTAATATTATATATTACTTAAGTCCAGCAGGTACCGCGTGTAATCGATAATTACTTTATGTGTATACGAATAAGTATATATATCAATTATATCTTTAATTATATATAGGTAGCATATAGCATGCTGTATGCACCTATTTATAGTATTTTAGCAGACAGCAGTATACTCATATCATATGTATATACCTATAATACTTACGTAGTTGAAATTAAATGTGTTAAAAAGTCACTGATTATCACGTTTTTGTACAAATATGATCATATTATTTATGTGGATGACAATAAACTATAAGCTGAAAATTGAATAAAATATAACTGCATCATAATATATTAGAATTTCATGTAAAAAAGATTTTAACTTATATTATTTGTATATCTATTTTCTAAAATGATATTTAATTGTAATCAGTAATCACAATCGTGGTTATAAGTTTATAACAATACAATATCATCATTTTTAGTTTCGTTTTAGTTTTGTAAGTYGTGTTAATATAATGAACTTACGTATATATTTTAATAAACTTACGCATCGAAAAAACGATTTATTACGTA